CCAAAAATGACAATGAAATAAAAAAAATAGTTGCGGTTTAGAAGGATATATAAAAAAAAGTAACAAGATTCATATACTTATAAGAATCATTATATGCTCTGTCTTTTTGCTGTTCTTTTATGGATCGTTTCTGGAGCATCTCTACCAAGAGTCCAACAGTAGTCTGCAAGCAAGGAAGGATTCTACTTTCCCTGGTACCTTTTTTCCATTGTTGAAATATCCTGATGAAAACGTTCGCCGTGCTCATCACTTACGGCTCCGCAATTGTCAGGAAAAAAGTCCAGGTGTGAGTGTAGGAAATGTATCTTAAGAGACATATTACAGCCCATCTTTTGATACGATGACAGCATATTTTTGACAAGGGTTTTATAGTTGTCAGCTTTTCTATTTCCCAAGAAATTAGTGACCACCAGACGGAAATCATTCCAAGCAGTTTTTTCAATACCTGTTAAAGTGTTTTCAAACTGTGTATCTTTCAAAATATTTCGAATCTGTGGCCCAAAAAAAATACCTTCTTTAACCTTTGCCTCACTTAGTCTTGGAAATTTCTGACGCGGGTATTGAAAAGCTGACCCATCTCTATCTAATGCCTTGACAAAGTTTTTCATTAGGCCCAACTTGATATGCAGTGGTGGTAATAAAATTTTTTTCGAATTTACTAATGGCATATGCTGTACATTTTTTTGACCTGGCTCTAGGAATTGACGAACAGGCCAGTTTTGTCTGGTGTAATGAAGTGTCTTTGCCCGACTGTCCCATTCACACAAAAAACAGCCAAACTTTGTGTGCCTAGCTGCAGCCCAAGTAAAAGTGCAATAACTTTCAAATCGCCACAAATATGCCATTGGTGCTCATCGTATTTTATGCATGTCAATAGGTACTTCATATTGTCATATGATTCTTTCATGTGAACTGCATACCCTACAGGAAGAGATGGCAAAATATTTCCAATATGCAATAACACTGCCTTTAAACTCAATGTTGAACTGTCTATAAACAATCTCCATTCTTCTGGGTTATAGTTTATATTTAAAGCCGCCAGTAAGCCGTTAATGTTACTGCAGAAAACCAAGTTATTCTCCATATTGAAAAATGGTTCTAAGTCTTTGTGGCGTTTACGAAAAACACATACCGAAACATCGTCTTCTAACAAGTTCCACTGCTGCAGTCTTGGTCCAAGTAACTCTGCCTTACATTTTGGAAGTTCTAAATCTCTTACAAGATCATTTAATTCTGACTGTGTTATTTTGTGCGGTTGGTGGCATGACGTGCTCGGTATAAAATCAGGATCTCTTGACGTTGAAGGCATATCTTCTTCCTGACGAATCACTCGATCGCCATGATCTGATTCGTTTTCTGATTCGCAAGTGTAGGATTCTGGGGGTTTTGGAATAGGATTTTCGTCACTGCGACGCACAGGTCTCATCGCAGATGGTATGTTTGGGTAGTTAATAACAGATTTTTTTTCTTGGACATTCCTGTAGCTTGTCCAACACAAGGTACCATGCAAAAGTAACAATCATTAATATGATTTGTAGGCTCTCTCCAAACCATTGAGACAGCAAAGCGCATAGACCGTTTTTTGCCATTTAACCAGCTCCTCAGACTTGAAGCACATGTATTACAGCAGATGTGGGGTGCCCACTGTTTGTCTTGATCACCTAGTTTACAACCGAAATAAAGCTGATATGCCTTTGTTATTAGTGAAGTAATAGACCGTATCTGAGACGCAAAAGTCACATCACCACACACGTAACAAAACTGATCTGGATTGTTTACACACTTTCGAGACATCTTGCATGAACGCTGTCAGCCAACTGAGGAAAAAATGGCTAATATAAAACAATATAATGTACACGTATGTATAACGTAACACAATCATGCCGATTACATCATCTTTCCCTGCCGAATATAAAAATGTAGCACGTGCATTCTTGTGAATTACAGTATATTAACACTGTCACAGCAGGAACACATATAATTACCGTATCTCTAAATCTTGAACTAATATTGAAAAAATAAGTTTCATTCCGGTTTTAGCACATTAAAAATATGTAGTAATATTTTGTTGATTTTATTTAGGATATTTTTTGGCTGTTGATCAGTGTAATGTGACTCGTGTGCGCAAAGTTTTGAACTCAGACCGTCGACTAAGTATTCGTTTAATAGCCCAGATGTTAAATTTACCAAAATATGTGGTTCATGACATTGTGACACAGCATTTGAACATGCGCAAGGTGTGCGAAGATGGTCCCAAAAGTGCTCACTGACGACCAGAAATTGCGGCGAGTGGAAGTGTGCCAAGAAAATTTGAACACGTGTGAAAGTGACCCCCAATTTTTGAATAACGTAATCACAGTTGACGGGTCGTGGATCTTTGAGTATAATCCCGAGATAAAGAGGCAATCTTCCGAGTAGCACACGACGACGTCTCCTCGCCCTAAAAAGGGAAGAATGAGCAAATCCAAAGTGAAAACGATGCTCATTGACTTTTTTGACATCAAAGGCATCGTCCACCATGAATTTGTGCCTCCTGGACAAACCGTCAACGCCAAGTTTTACGTGGAAGTGCTCAGGAAACTCAAACGAAGGGTCAGTCGGGTCTGACAAGATATCGCAGCCGACTGGAAGTTGCACCACGACAACGCCCCTGACCATTTTATCACTTGTTGTTCATGGCAAGACAAATCGATATGTAAAAAATTCTTGAATTCTAATAAACATACGTCGGTGTTTACCCTTATTTGTCACTCAGTATATGTTTTCTGATACGAACGCCTTCTGTATGCGAGTCGAAAAATTTTTCGAATCACCGAGTACGTATTTTGGATAGCTGTAACCAAACCCGAAGTTGTTCTGAATGTATATATACGCGCAACTGGTGATAGTGAGTCCGTTTGAATGCGGACGTAAAAGCCTGAACCGATCATAAATCGTCGCGTCGAGGATATTTATTTTTGAATTGGACATTATGCGCTTTGATAACCCAAATCGATAACAATGGCCACTTCACAGTTCCCGCCGCATCGCTCTGCGCCCTGTAATTCGACGGAAGGGCGTTCATATTAACCAAAGACGTGGAATTTTCCCTAGATTGCAAATTTGATTTCTACCCGATTGCCTCAGAAATTCTATTTCACTGTCTGCAGGCCAAGCTGCTAGATGAATTTTGACATATGAGATGTTGTTGGATTTGTCGTACTAATGCGAGTGGCACTGGCTATTTTGAAATTTCATAAAAACAAAATGGCGGATTAAAAAATCAACATCAAAATTGCTACTTCCCGGGCTACAACTTAAACGGCTCTATTGATTTTGTTATATGAGGAGTCTCTAGATTTGACTTGATAGTGTGACACGGGGTATACAATTCTATTAAATCAAAATTGCTAAATTTAATTTCACCGTCTACAGCCCAAACGGTTGATGGATTCTGGCATTTTAGGTAACTTTAGAATTGTCTTGGTAGCACAACTAAATCTTCATTCTTTTCAGTTACTGAAGTTGGGTTGTATGTATTTTTACAAATATCTAAGTAGTTGAGTTGGAAATTATAATAACAAACATGTGCATGACAGGCGTTATGGTTACTAAAATTGAACCTATTGAATTCGTGCCAGTGTCCGAACCCACGGTGGTCAGATGACTCACGTTTCCATATTACATAACCTGTTTTATCACATTTAAACATCAACGCATCCTCGTAGAAAAACCCTTCACAGCGTTTGTTGTGAAGTCGTTAACGAGAGTGGATGAACTACTTGTTGGAAAAAAAACGCCAATGGCACTGGTCTATCATGTAGGTGGACACCTTGCCTTGGAACACTCAAGATGCGGTGTTGTCAAGCAAAGCAATGTTGCAGAATTTTTGGCGATCCTGACCTATCATTTTGACCTAAAATGGAGCGCCGTTAGGACCGATCCGGAATCGATTGTAAACAGATTCACAATTATTCAAAAATATGTACGATCAAAACAAAACCCTAAGTTGGCCGTAGAGAATAAAGTACCGCATATTTTTCACATGCATCACAATTCAAGTAACTGGTGTAACATACTGGCAACGCGGCAGATTGCAACGACCTTCCGCACCAGCATCTATAAAGACTATCGAATTACCATAGGAGTTTTATCTACAGAACTTCATTTGGTTTGAAAATCAGCCTTCGCTATGATCATTTTGAAAAGTGCTAGTCATTTTTCATGTTTCGCTGAAAAAAAATCCAAATTTGAGCCAGCATTTCTGGGGATTGTATTAGAGCTTTAGCAAAACTTTGGTTCGACAGATCCCTCTTTAAAGATTGTTATTTATGTGTATAACTAGTTGTATTAAATATACAGTCATTTTTAAAGAATTCTTGATAAAGTTCAGCTCTCTGAAATGTTTTGCCATATAACTTTTATATTAAATGTATGTTCTTTGTTACAGGTAAGCTGAAACGAAGAAAATGCAATTACGTAAGTGATTCTGTTTTGATTGAAATTGATATTTGAAAACATAGTATAATTATTTCATATGCTTAATTGGATAATCAATATTTGATCTCAATTGGAATCAAAGCTTGAAGGCAGACGAAAAATTATTCCACCTTGAAAATGGGCACCCATATAGCCAAATTTAGGAGGCTGTTGAAAGCGGTGGAAGCAAAAATAATTTCTATGTCGGGATGTTTTGAGGAGTACAAAAACACGCGGCCCGGCCAAAAAACGAGTACTCTATAAGGAATATTTTACTCCTCAAGCAGAAGTCAAAGGGGGCATATCTCCCCGATGCTTTCCCTAATGGTCGCTCATGACCTTGAACTCTATCCTCAGTACCGGTGCGTTTCCTAATGCCAGTCTGTACGAACAGCAACCTCGCAATCTATTAATCGAAAAGTCCCAAAGGGCAAACCAGAAACATCCATCTATTTTCCAGTTTTACCAGATTGATTGAGCCTCCATAATTTAATCGAACATCCATGTCGAACAGACACGCGACGCAAAAATCCCACACATACCAAATAAATATAAAATGACCGAGGCGTCTCGTTTGTCGGCTTTGTCCTGTCACTATGGGAATTCAACTGTGAGGTGTTGTACCTCATGCAGGAGGCGTAGTCTAAGAATGGAGATACGGGGGTTACTTGGATCTAAAATTCCGATTCCAAATGTTCTATCTGTATCTGCATAAGGAATCTCAAGTATTGCCCCGTCACAAACTATAACTATCTTGTTACCGTGCTTATTTCTTTTTTTCTTTATCAATAGTTAATTAATCTACGTATATGTAAGAACTCTGAATCCATTCTGTGCTCTGCTACTATCCTGCTTCACGTCCGTCTCGGTAAATGATTGATTACCAAACAAATTTATATACTATATTTACAAAATACCATTTTTACCAAAAAATATAAACTCTTAAAAATAGTCATTGGATGGTACAGGAAAAAAATGGAAATTAATTAATATTTTCAGAACAGCTTCAGATATTTCCCTGATATTTAGTACGTAGTGAAAGTTAATCAAGTTACATATTTTTCAATGCAAAAATAATTTTTAGCTTTAACAGTGACGTGCGTACGGGTATTGACTTCGATATTTAAAAAAAAAATGGTACGCCAATTATAGAATTAATGTCAATCGCTTTCTGCAGAATGGCACTCAAAACAGGGTACAGAGTCATGTATACTATTTCCACTAATGCCAAACATGCTTATGAACGAAAACTCGTTACCTCCAAAAATAAGAAGAAGGTGTTTCGGTATCTAAGAACAAACCTGAATTCCAAAGTTTCATCACTTCAGATCCGCGACGCTGACGGTCATCTCCACATGGATGCCACCGAATCTGCCAACTTACTGGCAGAGTCCTTTAGTGATGACTTCGTCGATGAGCCTAATGGAGACCTTCTACTGACCACTATCTGCCATAGGTGTCCCAACAGCCTTTGCGAAGTTGAGTTCCTGCCTGAAGATGTATTAATGCACCTGCGAAATCTGAAGACCTCTTCCTCCCCTGGTAAAGATGGGATGACGGCTGCTGTACTTAAAAACTGCGCTTCAGCACTGGCACTACCATTAAGCTTGATATTCACATCGTCTTTTAGATCTCATACCCTACCCTCATGCTGGCTTAGTGCTTCTGTTACCCCTGTAGTCAAAAAGGGCGACAAATCCTGCGCTAAAAATTATCGACCAATAAGTCTCGTTCCTATCGCCGCCAAAATAGCTGAAAGAATCATATTAGATAAGCTCCAGTCATTTGCTTTCGAAAATGACCTTATCCCTAAGAATCAGCATGGATTTCTCCCTGGTCGATCAATAATGACCAACCTTCTGCACTCTCTCAACGATTGGACTCAGTATCTGGACACTAAGACTCCTGTTGATATAATCTACTTAGATTTTTCTAGGGCTTTCGATCGCGTACCACATAGAAGGCTTCTGTTTAAGTTGGAATGTATGGGAATAAGAGGCGAGTTGTTGCTGTGGATTAAGGCTTTTCTCACCGGGAGGACTTTCTCTGTGCGCGTCAGTGATAGCCAGGCTCACCTTCATCATGTAGCAAGTGGAGTTCCTCAAGCCTCTGTCTTGGGGCCAGTGCTGTTCCTTCTGTATACAAGTGACCTGCCAGCATTGATTTCCTCCACATGTTCAGCTTATGCCGACGACACCAAAATTTACAATACTGTCGTAAATTCTGCTATGCTTCAACGAGATCTTGATATTGTTTGTCAATGGTCAGTCAGTTGGCTTTTATCCTTAAATCTAACTAAGTGTTGTGTCCTTCACCTCGGGAAGACAAATCCGCGATTTACATACAAGATCTCTGACCACAACATCGAAGCAGTTTCCAGCCACACTGATCTCGGCGTTGTAGTCAACGATCGTCTTTCCTGGTCAGAGCATATTCACCACGTTACATCAAAAGCCAAAAAACTTCTATACATGCTGGAGAGGTCTTTCAAAGGATCCGATGTCAACACTTGCGCCTACATTTACAAGGCATTCGTGAGGCCAATTCTTGAATTCGCTGGCCCGGTATGGGACACTGTGCTTCTGCGCGATAGAAATCTCGTCGAATCAGTACAGCGTCGGGCTACTCGTATCCCTTTTGGAGCACGAAGACCAAGCTATGAAGATCGCCTTGAATTATTCAACCTGACCTCATTCTCTGAGCGAAGACTTCGTGGCGATCTTATAGTTACCTTCAGGATACTTCATGGTTTGATGGGCACCAACCTCATGCATCTATACCGTCTATCGCGCAGCAATCTACGCGGACACAGCTTCAAACTGCATAAGGAGCCATTTAAAACAACACTCCGACAGTGGTTTCTTCCCAACCGCATATTCAACACCTGGAATAGTTTACCTGAAAGTGTGGTTGGTGCTACTTCAGTTAATAGCTTCAAAGTGCAGTATGATAGCTGGAGGAGTGTACAAACTTTATAGCTATGAACTGTCTTTTTTTATTTTTTTCTATTTGATGTATTTGTGTTACGTGTCCGTACACTATATTTACTGCATGAGCTTATAGTACCGTGTACTCTGCTCATCTCAATTATCATAATAATAATAATAATAATTATAATAATGACAATAAATTTATTTATCCTCCTAGATCGTTTTTAGACATACATGTAGATAAACATTTCAGAGTAAAATAATACGCAATTTAACGATTTAAATATTTTTATCAGCATAAAAGCGGCTGTGTAACAAAACCTTTTTCAATGAATCCTTGAATGAAGTATAATCATTAGAATATTATATAGGTATTTGTAAAGAGTTGTAAAGTTTTTGGCTCATGTAAAACGGACAGCTTTCATACAAAGTTGTATTAAGCTAGATCTTAATGAGTTGCTACTCTGGTACTATATCTATGTACATGGCAGTTTTCATGATAATGCGTTTGTATACGTACACCGATGGCAGAGTAAGTACCTATCTTATAAGTCTTGAATTATTGTCGACATTCCATAGGTCTTACATCAAACATTAAGCGAATAATTCTTTCTTGCATAATAAATACTCGCATGGCCAAGGGTGAATTACCATACAATATTACGTGGATTTGTGAATATACGAATGCAAAATGGACGCTCAATAACTGACTAATATTTAGACAGCCTTTTAGGTGTTATATGGCATAATTGTTGCTGCTTAATTTCTCAGAAATTACATCGATGTTAGTAGACCAGCTCATATTGCTGTCAACATGTAGACCAAGAAATTTTGTTGTCACTGATCGTAACAATATCAGAATTGATAGGAACTACTAAACCGCCAATTTTGCGGCGTATAGTGGTACAACTGTTTGAAATGTCAAGATTATTATTGTTAATTGTAAAGAGTCAGAAGTGTCAAAAAGTACAACTTCCGTTTTCATATACAGAAATGTCACGATTTTTTAGCTGTTTAAGGGGTATGAGCTAGGGCTTCTGTTTGTACAAAAATTAGGAGGATCTAGTGTTTTTTCGAGTATGGAAGAATGGTGTGCAAATGGGGAGAGACAACAGTTTCACAACAGTAAAAGGTATGTTTTGATTGTGCATTGCTGTGTGAAGGGTTGTGGTTTACTAATCTGGTCGCCGCATCCCAAGAGAGTTTTTCTCTTTGTTATGAATTTGTAAGTGGTAGACGGTTTCAGACTGTCGAGCGTGGAGGTACCACCCGGCCGATTTCTAAGGTGGGGCCATACTGTGTGCTTGTCACATGTACACGTGTTTCCCGGTCCACGAGACGTCCTCCCTCTTTCCTATGTATACCCCTGCATGGTGAAATTTAAAAAAAAATGGGAGCAGTCAGTATCTAATTCAACAGCAGAGTAGGCGGAAGGGACCGGAAAGTTTCTGTCACGAATGCCTGCGGTTGGAAGCGATTGTGATAACGTATGATACTGGAAGAGAGCGTTGGATGTCCATAGTTAAAATAGCAATGCTTAAGCGATAATACTGAAGAATTATGAATGCAAGTATGTGTAACATGAAATCGATTCCAAATGTGTGTAGTTTACTAGCAGCGAAGTAGTTTTAGTAGAAAACTAGCATTTTTACGTTTTAATCCAGTAAAAATATGGTTTTAAATTATGAAGTGTTTTGCCGTTTCTCAGATTTTTTAAATCAAGGGCTAAATATTTCAGAGAAACAGCAAAGAAATTCTCGATAAAATTCGGAAATAATTGAAAGTAATAAGTATGGAAACGTGGTGTATACTACATCGTACGCATAGTAGAGGGCGCTGCCACAGATGGTTCTAAGAAGTGAGATGTGTAGCGTATATTAATAACCTGTGTTTCTAATCATTTAGCTTCGTATCACTTCAGCGTTAAAATGTTGTTTTCTTCGCTTTGTGCCATTGGAGGTGTACCTTTATAGAATTCTAATGTCTATACAGGTGCGGCTAGTTAAATGGTTGAACTATTCCTTCTTTTTGTTACAAAGTACTTACCCCTTTTCCGCTTTGTATGCCCGGCTAACGTCACAGTACGTCCGTTTAGCTTTGATTTTTGACGCGCTACGCTACCGCGTTGCCGCTCCAGTCGGCTGAATCTGACGCGCCTAATAAGATTATGACATCGATTGGCCAATTAGTCTGTGTGCGTGGCTGGCAGCCCGGATGGACGCTAAACGTTAAATGGCTTCACTAGATTTTTGTGCGTACGCTACTATTCGATGAGCGTTACATAACCACCGAACTTCACCAATTAACTAGAATAATTAGGCGTGACTGATGGTTACTTATTTGGAAATTCGCAATAGAATGTATGTTCAAGAATTAAAAAATAATAGGCTTGATAGGGAGACAAAAAAAATAGTGTCGTAAAGGTGTTTTCAACCCGGCATAAAGACATAGACACAACTGATAAGCTACTATAAAGGAAAAAAAAGTATCCTTTGAGTCTGCAACCCACAGTCCATGTTAGCCAAATGAGGGTTGCTGTAATTCAGGCAAGTATTAGGAATACGATGATTTCCCCATTTGTTCATAGGTAGCGTTCACGTTCGAGTGGGCTAGCGTAGTGCCTAGTGCGAATTTTGCAATCGCAATGGATGAGATTGCTATTTTTTGAGCGATAAGCATGCGGTGACCAGATAACAACCCTTCAGACAAACGATTAGATACCTAGTTGCCAGATTTAAGCTACG